TAATTTTTTTTTATTTGCATTCAACAAGATTATTTATTTATTTATTTTTGACAAAATAAAAAAAAATTGAATTCGAAGGATGAATTATAAAATCCGTATAAATTTGGAACAAAATTCATTTATTTTGCACGAATTATAAAATCTGGAACGTAAAGGCGATCGTACAAATTATGAATTTTATAGTTTGGGGCGGTTTTGAATTTACAAATTTTCGAAATGTAGAGGCGGTTCTAAACCGCCCCAAAAATTATGCACAAAACCACTGCGGTGATAATATTGGTATCGTAAAGGTGGTTTAAACCGCCTAAGAAAAATTTTGAAATTTTGAGCCGCCCAGCAACCGCCTCGAAATCCCTGAAGGTTGCCAAAACCACCCCTATACTCGTAGAGACGGCGACATTGTAGACGGTCTTGGAGCGATCCTCAAAGCCATCTCTACAATCCGTAGAGGCGATTATAACCGCCTCTAAAAGCCAAAAAAATCGCTTGCAATGCCCTTTTTTGGTGTAGTGAGGGTCACTATGGAGTCCTAGATGCAAAAGCGTAGGCATTTCTTTTTGGATTACAATTGGGTTCGGATATTGATATTATTGTTCTTGAAGCGGAATGTGATTCACAAATTCTAATAAGGTATATCTCAAGTGGAAAGATTCTTACCGACTATGGAGGCCTTCGTATTGATGCTATTTTTGCTTGGAATTCTTCCTTGCGTACATCTTTTTTACTCATGTTCTAAGACACCTCTCTTTTGATGAATCAATCTTTTATTTAATAGACATTCCATATGATGTAATGGAATCTTTAGTCTTTGATATACTTCATTTTCAATCTTTTTAATAAAAGTTATCTTTCCTATCAAATAATAATAATAATAATAACCCGTACAAAATTACTATTTTTTTAAATTTAGAATAATAGTTTATAGATTAAAAAACTCAAACATGAAACAATAAATATTAATACACAAATTTAAAATTACTTACAAATAAAACCATCGCATGCTTTTATTATTATTTTTGTTAGCAAGCAACAGTCTCAAGAAATAATTCATTAATCATCTTGAAAAAAATATTGATTGTACCAACATATGAGAAGCAAAAACATCACAAGTACGGACATAACTATAATCATATGTGGGTTTAGAATCGTTTCTTGTAACAAACTAACTCATTCAAATCATTCCATAAGATTAATCATGTGAAAACATATAAACCACAATATTAATTTTTCATGCTGAAATTCTTTTCACAATTTTAATTGTAGATAAAATAGTTTTAAATTGTTATTCCTAACACATAAAAAGAAATAATTTTAAATAATAAAAATTCACATAATAAATAAATAAATTCATTATAAATTAAGATGGATAAAGAATTAAAACTTTTTACTTTAATCGTCGAGAAAATTAGAGATTGAAATCAAGTTGTCATTCTTACATGGTAAAAAGATGATTAAATCATCAAAAGCATCATAATTAAACAAGTTAAAAATGACTAGAAGAAAGCACAAACTAACTCTTGTTTTTTATAGACAGCATGCATAATTTATATAAGGTAGTGGTTCAACAATATATTGCGTGTTATTTAGAGATACATAAGCCAAATCATCTTTTATGTAGCTTTATGAGCCTGAATTTTATAAAAGAGAAGCTCCGAAATCTCTATATAGTACTTTTTTTTATCCGGAAAACCATAATATAAAATATAATGAATATAGTGTACTAAATAAGTCTAATGTAACCATGTCAAGAAAATATTTTTTCATATTCTTCCATCTACGGACACATTATTATACAATAAGTAAAACCCATTAACTAGTAAGATCCAATGCGCAAACTAATTTTTACATTAAAATGTTATTATTATTTCTTTTATCAAAATAATCCAACAATTAGTCATAATAGTTCCTTAGAGATAAGTGATGAATAATTAGCAAACATTTTATCACCAAAGAATGTGGTCTAACGGAAAGATAATTGTTTTAATTTGATCAAAATTAAAATTTAATTCTCATTATTTACGAATAAGTAGCTATAATTAGTTTTTAGTAGTACTATACTTAGGATGGTTTGGCTTAAGAAGTAGTCTAGTAATCAACCAAAAGCTAGACATATTTTGGCATTGGCTTAACTCAAAAAACATTGGATTTAATCTTGATTAATGTAAAAACTAACTCTAAAATACCTAATTATCTATAAATATAAAAAATAAATTAAAAAAATCTCACAAGCTTAGGGATAAGTGGTAATTAATTTAGCAAACAAGAAAACATTAGAAGATATATTGCAGATACACCCCTATACAAGGATAGTACATTAAATATTTTATTGCCACTACCTCTCATAAATTATATATATATATAAAAGAAGTGAAGGTGAGATTATTTACTTACCGTAGCTCCTCACCCAATGTCTCTATTCCTACATTTCTTTGTTGCTTAGTTGTCCCTCTTTCTTTGAGAAATAAATCAATTAGTCTCTTTGATTTGAAAACTAATTTTTTTTTAATCCTTTTTACCATTTGACTATTTTTATTTTTTATTTTAAGAAATAGAAAAAAAGAGTAAAATATGAAAAAAAGAGACATTTTATTTTTATTTTAAAGAATTATCTCATCCAATCAAAAGTATCTTAGTATTGTATTAAGAGACCATGAAATCATATGTTCGGTTGTTTTAGTGATCTTTATTCGTTGTTAGGTAATTGTATAGATTAATGTGGGTGAAAAGGAAAGGAAGAAAATAAAAATAAATCCAACAAAGGGAGGTAGAGATGGTTTTTGAGATAAGAAATTGAAAAGAGAGAGGTGCAAATAAATTTTAATAATTCATAAAAGTGATAACTAGATACCTCATTTCTTTTTACTTTTTTAGGACCACCATGTAGAATTAAGAAAATGGTAAATTGGAAGAGTAAGAAAATGAACTTAGGAAAAAAAAACAAAAAAAAAGTAAAATATGAAAAAAGATATTTTATAAAATAAAAAATGAATTATTCGTGATCAATACCGATTAAAAAATTAAATAATTGATTTTTGAAACCAAAAGAATTAATTAATTCATTTCTCAAAATGAGATGAACTAATTTATAATTTAATTTGCAATTCAAGAATCTCTTTCATCGTAAATTAAGAATTTATGAAAAATAATTTTGTAATAGTTTTTATTTCAATTTATTGATTTTAATATATTCCATATAGCTTAGATGGTTTTTTTTTAAAAAAAATTATTTATACTACATATTTTGAATCTACTGGATATAATCATAATATATATTGAAAATTAATTATGTATTTACATACATAACATCATTTATTTATTATTTATTCCTTTTTATGTTATAAAATAAATATTTTTTAAATAAAATAATTGAAATAATGTTTTAGAAGAACCTTTCAATTATTCAAATATAATTTTTATACTAATATTATTTATTATTTTGTTAATATGTGTGTGTGTGTGATTTTGTTTAGCAAATAAATTTGATTTATATTAATTATGAGAAATAAGATTTTTATCCGTACTATATCATATGAATCGTTGACTTTATGTATATAATGGTTATCCGACCGTGAAGATAGCGCGAGTATACAACTAGTAGAAAAAAATGTAATATGTTTCACTTGTTTCATAAAATATGTTTGGTTTTTTTTTTTTTTTGTTATGTTTATTTATTTACTTTTATTTTATTTTTTTGTAAATAATTGTAACTATTAAAGTATTGTTTCATAAAACATGTTTGGTTGTTGTGTTGTGTTTGTTTATTTATTTATTTGTAAATAATTTTAAATATTAAAGTATGTTTTGAAAATAACAAGAAGTGGTTTTTTATTTTTAATTATTTTATTTATAGAATATCCTATTTCTAATATTATTATCACCATAATACTCCAACAGACCATCAATAACACCCTACTTTTATCATAACAATGATCACCAGTATTATTAACACAACTATCATTTTTATTTTACTTCTTCATTACCATTACATTCTTCAACAATTATCTTAATAATCTTCACATACATATTATAACTATCTTTATTGCTACCATATTATTCAGATCATCCCAATCATATCATTATATCCACTTCAACTATTATTATTTATTAAAAAATAAAGGTCATCATAAATTTAGTATTATTTTTACCTTTATCGTTACTTTTAACATCATATCAATTATTATCATGTCGTAATCACCACAACCAATATCATAAATATTATTTTCATTACACCGCTCTTTAATCATCATAATTAAATTATGTGAAGTCATCATTTTTTTATTAATAATATATTATTATATTTCTTAAATTAAGTTTGTATCATAATTTTTTTCTTTATATATCTTAGTTAAAAAGATGTATAGTTTTTAAAAACTAATAAACATAAAACAATTTTTTATTTTCTTAAAACAAAAAATCAAAATCAGGAAATGATATAAAATGATTATAAAATATTCCCCTTCTATTAGTCTCAACATGATTCTACTGGAAAAGTAGGTATCAACAATCAAACAATAGTTTCAGACTACAAATACATACCCAAATCTCGCTTCTTTAGCAATCTCGGTTATTGTCACTGCAGACTCATCCCTCCTATTCATCGAATTTTCTCTGATTTACTTTTTCCTTTGCCGTGCGCCTTGTGTGTTGGTTTGATTTCGAGCCCATCCACCTAGATAATTCATTTCTTTTTTTATTCTTTTGTTTTGCATATTTCATTGGATCAAGAGAGATAACGTAATCTAAACAGCTAATTAATTATTGCAATGTCATATGATCTTATCTCCAATCAATCTTTAATTCATTAAAATATACAATGCTTCTCTCTCTCTATCTCTCTCCCATGCATCTGCAGTTCAAAAAAAAAAAAAAAAAAACCTTTCTCTCTCTCATGCGTCTTCAATTCATTCGGCAAACAATTACTAAGAGATGCCCCATCTTCTTTAACTGATGTACCCAGAATCCGATGGGGATCTACAAGCTTGCAAGGTCTATGTGAAGAGATGGAGGATGATATCGTAATTTGATCAGATGGCCTTGAAGGGTTCTCCTTTGTAGCTATTTTTGATGGCCATGTTGGTTTCTCTTCTGTGAAGTTCCTCAGGTTTGACAAATTTTAGAAACCCTAGAATATTCATCTTTATTGAATTCTTTTTGTGTAGTTTTTATTAATCTTCATCATTATTAAGAATGAGTTGTACAAGGAGTGTGTCGCAGCTTTACAAGGTGGTTTGCTATTGAATGGAAAAGATTTCAATGCTATTAGAAAGGCATTGGAAGAGGCTTTTGAAAATGTTAATGCAAAATTGTTAAATTAGTAAGCCTAAAGCATCTTATATGAAGGACTATAGTTCCATATTATATACAATTATATTATTTACAGGATTGAAGGATATGGATGTTGGACGCGAAGTTAAGACGAGTAACGATTTTCAGCGAGAGAAATCTACTTCTGGTGATGCATCCCTAATCTTATCACAGCTACAAGTTACACTAGCTTCCTCCACTTAAGAAGTTAAAATTTCTTTTATGCTAATATGTAGGAAGAGAGCACATGGAATTGACCATTGAGGTGGATAGAAGAATTAATTATGACCAAGAAAGTCTACTCATGGTCTAAAAGTACACCAAGAGAAGGACAACCTCACTGACTACAAAGAAGATCCTATGAAAATACTTGAGCACGTGAAGATTAAATATTCACTTAAATCTCCACTATCAACCATAAAAGGTTTCTTTAAGGATTCAAAAGAAGAGGAGCTAAGCTTCAAGAAAGAGGAAGTGAATAAAGTTGAAGAGCGACTAAGGGTTGTGCTGATTGAATTCTACTAGAAACCTCTTCTTCTAAAGCACTAAAGGTGGCAGTTTTTCAATGATTAGCATAAATTCTACTCTTGAAAGTTGTTATTGATCTTTTTAGCTCTGCTCGGGACATTAATTTTGTTTCTTGGCATAGGTTTTAATGTTGTCTTTAGATCATTTATTCTTCCTTAAACTGAAGCTCATGGCTTTTTTGTTAATATCCTTGATTTTTTATTTTTGTCAAGCGCACTGTTTTTATGTTCATTTGTGTATTCTCATGTCTTTTAGTCGATTGGTTTTTGTATAGATTCATGGTGTCTATATCTTATCTTTTGTATTGAATTCTCTATATCTGGTGTTTTATTTTTGAAGTATTTCGAACTCTGTTATTTTGGGTGTTTTAGTGTCATGATTTTCTTTATTATTATTATCATTATTATTATTTAAGTATTTTGAACTCTGTTATTTTCGGGTGGTATCATGATTTTTTTAAGTATTTCGAACTCTGTTATTAGCTGAATGGTTGAATTAGTTTGTCTTTTCTAGAGAAAGTATTTAGAACTTTGTTATTCAATGTTTTGAAATTGAAAATTTTTTTTGGTACATGTCATTGGGAAGTTATTTTATTCTGGATTTGGGATTTTCAAATGAGGTTCATGAATTTCTTGGAACTTGTTTTCCCTACCTTCATGTACGTTTTTTTGAATGGTCTTTTCCTTTTTCATTTGTTGGGACATAATGTTTTCCATTTGTTTTAGCTCTACAAATCTCATTAGAATTCTTTTATATACATGCTGCATATAGAGCATATTTATGATTTCGAATTGGAATTCATTTCTAGATTAAATGTATAAAGCTTAGTATAATTGTTTAATATTCATGGCACATCCAGAGTTTAATCTCGAAAGCAGATTATTTGAATTGGAACTTGATTTTCTGGAAATGTAAAACTATGTGCTTATATTCTATAGTCAAGCCGAGAAAACCCTGGTGGGAGCAACTTCTTTGAAGTTTCTAGCAGGTAATATTATGCTTCTGGGTTGCAAGGTTTTTTTCTTTTTCTTTTTTTTTTTTTTAGGCTTGCAACTGCTTATTATGGAAATTTATAGAAATGGCCTACATGGTAGCATTCTTTGCTTTATTTGTATTTTTCTCTTTCCTTTTGTTTTTCCCAATATATTTGTATTTCACTGTAGATAACCTATTTTTGACTCTCTGATGCCAATTACTTTTTAACTTAACTTTTGGCTTCTGCCTTTGCAAAGAATGACTCAATATTTGACCTTCTCTATTGCATAACATTCAAGCTAATGTATTATGAATGGCTTACCGTACATGCCTCATATATGGACTTCAATGTATGTTTTCTTCAATCATAAAATTCCGAGCAAGGAAAGGCACGAGTTATCATTTTATCTTGCATGCTGGCATCCAAAATTGGAAACTGTAACTCTAAGGGTGAGTTTGAGGTAGTCTTGCTTTGCCTAATGCTAGGAATGTTGGTATATAAAAGTGTTCTGGATGCGTTGATGCTTTGTGAGAAGCACTGACATAGATTGAATTTGTTTTCTAATATTTGCATAAATCTTAGGATTGAAGAAACCAAACAAAATATCCTTCTTTATCGTAATAGTAAGGATAAAATATTCGTTCAAAAATTATAGAAAGGTAGATTTGACTTTGGAAGGCAGGGTATATATTAGTAATAGAAGATTGGTAGACTGGTTAATCGTTTTAAAGACGATGCTTTTAGTGTTGGTTAATATAAAATTCTAATAACCCAAATTAAGTTACTCCTGAAAAAATCTTTGTCATAATTGTTCTCCTTCTTGCTAAGAGGAAAATAATTGTCAAATTATCTTAGTTCACAAAAACTATTGCCTTGGAGTGATGGGAATATCAGTTAGATATAAGGAATTCAAGGACATTCATTTTTTATGCATTTTCATTTTTTTCTTTTTCATCCAATTGAGTTTAGTTTGAGTGTCAAGCTCATATACTTTTTGACTTTGCTTCATGGCTGAAGATTTGTTGGGCCAGGCAACTTAGTCCAAGTGCTTTCCCAACCAGAGCTGCTCTCATGGATCCACAAAAGCTGACAAGCAATAATACGAAAACTGTAGCACATTTGCTTATGTTGGATTTGCAAACAGAGGGGTATAATGTTGTGCCATCACAATTCATGTGTTTTATCTAATTAGTAAATTGTTGGCTTTGTTTTGAATCTTTAACAATCTCTATCTCAATTGCCACTGTAATTAAAAAACAAAAATAATTATTTTCTTGCAACCTTAAACAATCTACGCAAGCCATATTTCTCACCATTGCTTTTCATTATGAATCTTAGTACTTTTAAATTTTTTAATGGTTAAAAACGGTGAGTTGATTATTTGTAAAAAACTGCTGCTATGTCTGCAATTACTAATTTTTGTGGAGTACTTATGTGGGGCATGGAATTGTGTTTAATGTCTTGGAAACTTTTGTTGGATAATTATCTTATCCTTTTTCTAGATCAATCATTATGCTACTATCATGTAGTTTGAAATCTAAATCCTGTCGTTTAGTAGTTTGAAATCTAAACAATTGACAGCATGACATCTTAATATTTCTATTCAATAAAAAAATAAAATTTGCCAGCATAAAAAATTAATTATCAGTCAAAAAAAAAAAAAATTCATAGGTTTTATTTGTGTTTTATATATATATAATAAAAATTTATTTGAACTTGCAATAGTTTTTGTTTTTATTTTAATTTATTTACTTCGATATATTCCATGTCATTTAAGTAGGTTTTTTAATATTTTATATTATTTTATATATTTTGAATTTACAAATTATGATTAATGTATCATTTAATTTTGTTAAAAATTAATTATTTATATTAATGTATAACACTAATTATTCGTTATTTTTTTCATGTTGTAAATTCTATATTTTTAAATAAAATAATTTAAATAATGTTTTGAAAAAATATTTTAATTATTTAAATACAAATTTTTATGCTAATACTATTAATTATTTTGTTAATAAATATACTAAAATCAAATAATTTCATTTAATATATAAATTTAATTTGCATTAATCACAAGAAAGGAGACTTCTATTTGCATCAGATCATATGAATTGTTAAAGCTATGTATGTAACGTTTGTTTAATTGTAGCGTAACACGAGTATCTAACTAGTAATGACTAAACGGGCGATGCACTCGGCAGAAATTGTTACAGTTTTAGCACAACCACGCAGAATAGAGGAAAAGCAAATTTTAAATCATGTTAGTAAAGTAATTGCAAATGCTGAAAATTAGAGTGGATCCAAATTTTTTTTTTTTTTCAAATTACAAAGAAAAGCTTAAAATTCGTGACATCTTTTAGAGGTAAAAGACACTAATGCCAATTAAGTTATAGTCTACTGACGCAAGAAATAAAGTTACTCGCCTTACTTGGATTTGCATCTCGATAAAGGGTAAAGTTCACACAAGTATAATATATATGCAATTTTATCCCATTTGTTGTGCATATAAATTCAATATGAATCTAATTAGCCATATTATTTACGACACTATGACCCCTCAAACATTGAAGAAGTAGGACTACATCATTAACTATAATTCAGTGTTGGAACAACAAAGTTGCGGAATGTCCAACGTACAAGCACTTTGCATCTTTTTCTTTAAACAAGAAACGAAGAATTCACGTTTCGTGCGGCAAAGGCAAGGCTCACATTACTACCTGTATTAAATTAAATGTGAAAGTGCAGGTATTATGCGAGGGAGGGGGCCAGGCCAACAATTCTTGCTACTGCTAGCATAGGTAAGTGACAACATAATATTTAATTTAAGTCAAGTGAATTCTGATATATGACACCCAAAGCAATAATGTTGTATCGACTGCCACAAAAAAATAACAGTCGACATGTCGCTTCTACAAAAAGAAAGGGTAAATTTATGAGAATAAACATTTGAAAAGAAAAATTACTAGTAGAGAAGATAAAAGTTGTTCTCTCCAGAAGAGGAATGCTATTACAACTTTGGACTCCCCTTAAAAGTGCATAAAATTGACTTCACATGTAAAACAAAAGAAACTAATTTTCATAACCATTACCTAAAGCAGCTAGCCATTGTGAAAGACATGACATGGAGGAAAATACTAGGCATTAGAAATGGAACACATTATTATTCCACTGAACTAACCATATCTAAGTAGTACCCTTTCTTTTAATCCAGTTGGGTACCCCAAAGAAGCAGCATTAAGCTAATGGTATCATTAGTAAAGTAAGACAATCAAAATATAAAAATTAAAAATTAAAAAAAAAAAAAATCGGTAAAGCAAGCAAATAGTACAGGAGGAATCTATGGGCTTCTTGTAAACTTGGTTGGTACAAGTCTGTTATACCACGAGGAGATTTGAAAATACAAAATCCACATACTTGCAAAAAAACTAATTTCTCTTGAAAACTTCCTAAATTGGGACCATCAGACCATATGAACTTTAAAATGCACAGAAAGCATGGAACAACAAGATGCTCAATTAATCAGGAAGAATCAGTACCCTTCTTCATATAATGCATAACTTCAAAGTCTAACCACTCAAAATGATAAGAATACCTCGTGGTGTGAAATAAATCACAAACTTTTCCTTCAAAAAGTAAACAAAATTCTTCATTTTATTCTGCATAATTTTCCGAACCTGCACCTTCTCCTTGGTAAATTTAAAATCTATAGCTATCTTCTGCCTCTTTCAAGACATCTAAAAATTAAGTCCATATAACAAACTCTACCTTAAGAAGCTCAGAATGGTTCTCTGTTTTCCAACTAAAATCAAGTCTATACCAGCTTGAGAGTACAACAGTAGTTAATTGGCGACGGGAATATGTCCAAACAATTCATATGCTGCAGCAATGAAAGAGTGATGATACATTAAAAGACCTTAATATTTAAATAACTTAAATACCAAGAGTGCATTGAAGCATTTAGACTGTTTGCTATAACTCATTTTGGTCTTTGTCAGCAAAGATTTGGATAGCATCATATACCCCTTTTTTTTTTTCAAAATAAGAAAAAGGAGACAAAGAAAGCATATTTCCTGCAGGAATATATATATATATATATTCTTTTTCAATGGAAGAAACATGGTAGAAACTCACAAAAGAAAAACTTTAAGAGCCACTAAAATATCTGAACTTGCATATTCCACGGCGATTTTGAGCAAAAGAATCACGAAGAGACTGTATCATGGTACATACAGAAGGTACCTTACACAGTTCTTTATCCTCTTCCTGTAAAATTCATTTGGTTTAATTAAGCATTAAAATGGAACATCTCACGTGTGCTTGCATTCTTGTGCATGTACATGCAGTAGAGAGAGAGATAGAGAGGTGTAATACCACTTTGGTAATGCGTTCTTCGAAACTTGTAGAATTAGCATCAAGCGGCATGAATATCTTTCTGTAAGCTGTTCTCAAACTCTTAATCTAGATCCTTGACCAAAAATATATACAGTTCACTCATTAACGTGACATGAAAAAAAAAAAAAAAAAAAAAGTGTAGAGATTAACTTAAAATATTAAGCAGGTAAAGATGTCGGTGGAAAAGAAAATGGAAATACAAGGTTCGTTGTTCATAGAAGCAAATTTGCCAAATCCATATCTTAAATAGTTAATAATAAATGTGAAAAGATTTAAAATGACATCCTGGCACATCTTCATACAACAAGAGGCATGCATTAAGTTTGATCACAGATGAGAGGTCTCCTTAGTACCAGAGTTTATCTTCTTGGATGCCAATGCACCCACAAAGTGCATATATGCCAACTTGCTCAACTTTTGCATATAATAGGATAAATATGGCACGGGCGCTCAAGTGTCTGACCAAACAACATTTGCCAATGCATCCACTCTACTATTAAAGTGAATGAAATAGAAAGAATGAAGAAGGAAATAAGAAGATTAATACTTCACTCTGCCCAATTATTCAACAATTACGTAGAAGCCAGTGCTTCAATGATTTTGGAATCAATGCCATTAAGCCATCTCCGCTTCTGATTCAACACACTTCCACTATAGTGTCCAAGTAAATATTCTTACTTTCTCTATTTCGGGTAGAGTGGAGTAGGTTGCATGAATAGATGAAAATTTGTAGCAGCAAATTGCAACATTAATGGATAAAAATTATAGATAGCATCATGAATGTTAGAAAGATGCATAGGGATTTTCTAGCACGAAGTGTGCACAGAATTATAGGGACAAATGAAAAAAATGTAGTCAAGCATTATTATATACACAAAAAAATGTTGCAAAAGAAAGCAATGGTATCTAGAACCCACCCCTGAAAATAAGTAAATGAATAAATAACTAAAAGTAACCAAAAATATGTTTTACATTTTGGTATCACATGATTGCACCTTGTTTAGATAGACGCAGAAGTCCAGCTATCCAAAGCATTCAGGGTAAGATGGTAGTGGAAAAGTGCTGCAATCATTAATGAAATTGGACAAGAAAAGCATGGAAGCTGGATGCAATATGGTGATTGGTATAAAAATTGGAGTGAAGTGAGGTGATGGGAAACAAAAGATGCATATAGTATATAGATGCAACAGCTTCTGGAACAGGAATTTTGTTGTTCACCCAAAAATGGCTGACAAAGTTGTTGAGAAGTTTTATGCGTTACCAACACAGGATGAGGTGCAGGTTATGATGGTTTTAGACTCAGTCTTGCCATCAATACGTATAGACAGAAGAGTGGAGAAGGATGGAGGCCATAAGATGATCACCAAAATCGTTACAGAATAGTACAGCAATCACTTTAATAATTACAGAAACGAGAGAATTTTGCAAGTTACATTAGAAGTATACCATACAACTACTGTAATTCAAATCAGACCTCTGCCACAGCATCTATCTACGCCGAATATGCATGAGTGTGTGCCTGCGCACACAAGTGCCTATTCCTATGTTTGGAGGTGGATTTGCAGCTAAGTAAACCACATCCAAGAATGCATTGGAATTTTGTAAATCACACCAAAAATTTTGAAAATCTTTTTTGACAGTAAAAATAGGTTATCTCTAAGCTAGGTTAAAGCCATAAGAATGAAAGTTCAAACAATTCCAACCTCAGTGGCTGTAAATCCATGACGCCGAAGACCTTCCAAATTCAAACCACGAAGCTCAGCTCTTTCTCCAGCCACCATCGTGTAGTTTGGGACGTCTTGTGAAACCTTCAGGCATATGACATAAGTAAATAACGTCAAAATTGCATGCTGGATATATATAGAGTATATGTTAGAAATTAAACTTGACTTGGCCCAAGTCCATAGCCCAAGTCCAAAACCCATGTCCAAAAAATTATTCTCTTCAATTTTCTCAAGCCATCTTGGCATTTCCAACATTTAAGAACTCTCTTGAAGTTTTTCAAAGAGTCAGTTTTGTTATTCTAGGTGCATGTATGTCCAGCATTTATGATATGGTTATCCTTTTGAGTCTCTTGAATTATCCTTAGGCTAGTATAAATATGGCCCTTTGGCCATTAGTTTGGGTGTGCAAAAAAGAGAGTTAATCAAGTGCTTCCAAGAAAGTGAGTAGGAGTCTGTGAAGGTCTATTACTTGTAGTAGTGAGTGATTAGTGTGTGCAAAAAAATATTTGAGTGAAATATATTCGTAAGATTGAGTAGTGAGTGAGTCCAAGTGTTTTTTGTCAAATTGATATGTTAGAATTTCCTCCTATTAAAAGTCGTTATTTTATTGTTTCTGTCCACCACACATTTTTTTCCACCTAATTATTTAATCCTCCTCCCAATATTATAGACACGCTCAGGTCAAGTACTACATGGAGCTATGAAACCCTAATTTTAGCATTTTTTGGCTGTATCAGACACATTAATAAGTATCAAGATCACTGATCAGACATTCACTACAAGTCCATGTTGGACAACCAACCTCCCTGTTACGTTCCCTTTTACTCAAGAAGGCTTTACAGAATGATAAATAAAACCCAGATAATAGAAAAAGATCATACCACAGATCCACCACCAACAAAAGAAAAGGAACCAATATGACAAAATTGATGAACAACAATGGCTCCAGCAGTGTGAATGTAATCCTGCATTTGCAGCACTTGAATCAGGCATGACTTGTAAATTAGAACTATGAAGAGTGAAGCTATCCATCCTGATGTAATCAGAAAAGACAAGAACTTACTTCCACAACAACATGGCCTGCTAGAAGAGTATTGTTAGAAAAAATGTTATTGTTGCCGATATTGCAGTCATGAGCAATATGACAAGAGCCCATGATAAGATTGTTATCACCAATAACCTACATATAAACAGAATTTGAACAATTTAAACATCACATAAGCATAATAAATTGCCAATAAATTACTACTAGCACCATTGTCAAACCGTTTTATCACTTGGTTTTGAAGATCGGTGAATTGAAGTATGTTCTCTGATCTCGTTATTATCCCCAATGTGAAGAAAACATTCATCCCCTATCTAAAAAAAAAAAAAAAAAACAGAATTAGCTATCTTGTTCAAAAAACAGCCGATGGCCCATTTACAATTTGAATTTAGGCTTCTATATACATGCAAAAATATCCATAGTGATCAACATTGAACAAAAACAATTATGACAAATAAAAGTCAACGAAGATAGAACAGAAATATGGCAATATCTTCACATGTCTCTGAAGATTTTGTCTGAATAAGACAGCAGCACTGTACCAGTCTAATCTAACTCAACGGTGATCAAGATTAAACTCCAGAAAACAAGATAGGAAATGTAATATATAGAGGCCAATGTACAAAAGGTCAATTTTACAAAATTGCTTTATCAATCCAAGAAAAATCAGTTTTTTTTCCCCTAAAAAGAAAAAGTGCAATTGAGGATCTCACAACTTATGAGACAAGACATAACAATTGTGACAAAATTTCCAGAGCAAGATGCGGTTGACAAAGTTGTAAGACAGCATTTAGATCAGCAAGCAAAGGTGACAGAGAATAGCTAAAGGATAAAGGTCATTCATAATAACATAAACGTTGAAGTAATAAATTAAGAAAGTAATTAACCAGCGAACAGTGTTTGTAAATAAAAGATAATATCATCCTTTGAACATATAATATACAAGCATACCCATATTCATAAACACGCGGAAAGAGATGGATGAACATTGAAAAAAACAGCGGTCCTAAAGTTTATTAGCCAGCCCCATATTAGAAAGTTCAAGTAAACTAAATGTCTAAAAAAGGCTTCATTAATAATGAACATTGCTGGTAATAGGCAGCCAAAGATAAAAACGAGAAGACAGCATCACAAACATAATTTCGGTGGTAAATGAAATTCAACATACATCATAAATTATATAAAAGTAGCAGGAAATGAACCTTGTATTTCAAATCTTGGCATTTGACTCCAATGACAGCATGATGACCGATAACATTATTACGTCCCAAAACTGTACGTCCAGGAAGATGGTCACCAACCACGGCACCACTGTCTGACACACAATTTATTGCTTCTTTTTAAATAAAACGAATATATATATATATATATATATATATATATATATATATATATCTTAATTAGTTAGGTGAAGTGAAGAGAACTGACGGCATCAAAAGACAGTGATCCCCAATCTCAGTATTTCCGAAAACATGGCTACCAGGATATAATCGACATCCCTTCCCAAGCTTTGCTGATGATCCGATTGTGCAAAATGGACCAATTGAAACACCCTACACAAATAATAATGATAATAATAATACTTTATTTATTTATTTGTAAAACTAAAATAATAATAATAATAACTCCAGACAAGTAAATAATAATAATAAGAAGAAGAAGAATGGTTACGTCGCCAATGATGGCGTTAGAGTGGACGTCGGCGGAGGGGTGAACGACGTAAGGGTTTGGGTCTGCAGTGGCTTTACTGTCGCTTGAAGAATCAGCATCTGCATCTGCATCTGCGCAAACAATCACAAACCAAAAGGATTCAAATAAGTTGTTGTACAGTAGAGTATTCAGTATTAATTAAGTTGAGGAGCAAGAGAGAAAGACATCTGAATGTTGTTGTGGAGAACAAGTGTTGGTTAGAGAGTGAATCACTACTTCTGCTGCTGCTAAGAGCAGAGGCAAAGAGTGGACTGCGGATTTTGAGTTTGAGTTTGAGGAGGGTGGAATTTGTAGCTGCTGCCATCGATGACGATGATGAACTGAATGGATGAATTTGGAGGGAAATTAGCTTTAAGTATTCTATTTCTACTTTTCTTGCTATTTGACCCTTCTCTCCCCGTCTCTCCGTCTTCCCTCCCCTCTTAATTTTGCACTCATCCACACGACACGACTAGCTACACAGCCGCTTTGTTGCTCGACCCAAGCCCAGGAGTACTATACTACTACCAGGCACTGGGTTACCGGTTTTGTGGGGTCCACCATCCAAGCTGCGTCATATGGCTATAACTACTACTTGCACTTAATATTAATATTTTTATTATTTATTATCATCTTTTATAAAAGAAATTAAAAAAAAAAAAAAACTAAAAAAACTAAAAGAACTGAATTTGTAACTATTCAGTTACTGTCGTTACACACTCAGTCCTTCTATTCATTGAATTTTTTCTAAATTTTTAAAGTCATTGTTATTGCAAGAGTGTTTTTCTTTTCTATTTTTTCTTGGCTTGTTTCCTGTACAAAATCTATTCTTTGGTATATTTTTTGTTTCAGACGTTCGATCTAAATTAACTGCTTTAAAGTCGTCCGATCGAACATGATGTGAACCATCAATCTAAAAACCTTAACAATCTCATCCATTAAATCATGATATCTAAGTTTATTTTATCCTAATCTCAGAAAGCCTCCATTTTCTACCATTCTCCTTTCACCCAAAACTCTTGCTGCAACTGCAGTCGTCACCACCACACCTCGACGCCGACGTCAGCACCCATCACCACCACAACATCCTTTTATCTCAATCTCTCTAAATCATCTTTCTCTATCTTCGTCTTTCTACTATCGGATGAACAGAGGAAGAATATGTTCAAAAGACAAATCCAGCTGCTGCTCCATTATCTTCCTCAGATGAACACAAGAAGGAGGCAAGTGTTCTGTTCAAAAAATTATGCTTGAAGTTTGATGCTCTTTCTCACTTCAACTTTGCCCCTAAACCTATCATAGAAGACATGTCTATCCAAGCAAATGTCCCTGCTTTTTGCTATAGAAGAGATTGCAACTATGGTAGTTCCAGATACACCCATGCTGGCTTCTAAGGAAGTATTTTTTGGCAAAGGTTATATTAAGGAAGAAACAGAACTTACGCTGGTCGAGAGAAAGAGGAGGAGGGCTAGTAAGGAAAGAAAATTTAAGGTTGAATTAGTGAAAATGATGGCAAAGAAGGCACGAGAGAACACAACAGTAAACCACGATGATGGCAAGGAAGAATAGTGATTTGTTTCCTCTTTATATCCATGCACAAGGGACCCCTTAAACAATTTCAAGTTAGGTTTTAAGTTTAGGACTGCCAATTTGAGAGGAGGAACATGAGAAAAGCGTTATCTTACAGCATTGCAAGTTGCCTATTTGTTTCATGCTTTTAACAAGCAGTACATTAACAGAAGAACACTATGCCAGAAGAACTAGAAAGATTTGGGATATAACTTGAAAGAAGATAGGTGGGAAGTTGGCAACTATCAGCTATATGTTTTGTACTTAAGAATTACAGGTGAAATTTTGTTTTGTGTTTTATTGAACCTCTGATTGGCGTTTGACACATTATTATCATTTTATTCTTTCACGAGGCTGGTTCTACGTTTAGCGATGATGCTTTGGATGAGCTTGAAAGTTTCAGTAAATTCAAATAATTGGATATGGAAAACGATATCCTTGAGAAAACAATGGTGACAGGTTTTGGTAAGTTGAAGGATAGAGAAAACAACTCATAGAAAAAAAGAGATCAATATTGTTTGAGGTTACTGATGTTATCCAGGAAGCTAAACTTCTTGTGATATATTGGTTGAGGCTATTGATGTTATCCAGGAAGCTACTCTTCTGGTGATATTTTATTTAAAAATTTGGTATTTGGATTCGTTCATGTGATAATTCTATTTTTTTGTTGGCTCTTTTTTCTTGCTTTCAAGCCTGAATGAGGGTTTTGGCTTTCAATGACAGATGGAGGAGCTTTCACTTCTCATTGATGCAGTTTCTGTTATTGATGAGCAATTTTTACTGGCTATAGTGGTAATTGTTTCTTTAACTTCTATAAATTATTATGCAGGGTATACATTGGTATTAGCTCTACATTTTTTGAATAAATCTTTTTCTATTTATTAGAAAATATATATAATTAAAATGCCCTTCAATAATTTTCTTTAGGTTTTTGTTTTGCTTCTGAATAAAGAAAAAAATTGTGTCAAGTTTATGGCCTAACTTTGTATGTTGCATTAGAACATGGTTTCATGTTTTACGGTTTCCTTTTTTATTTTTTATTTTTTTGTCTTCTAAATAATTCCATGAACAAGCTATGTAAACAGTTTCATTTTGTCCTTTAGGTGTTAAGCAAATACTGAATTGATGATGATTCATAATTGTTTTTTTGAAGTGTGTTGGTTTGTTTGAAATTAATATTTAAGGTTCATTGAATTAACATGGTAATTAATTTTACTTCCATTTCTTAGTTTATTCATGTTGATTCCACTTATTACATATTAAATTTTTGATTTTAGGTTAGTTTGACATATTTTTGGAGTTTAAAAATTCTGTTATTTGATTATAAATCTATCAAACATTTAAGGTTTATTGAATTCATTACAAGGGCTAATTTAATTTTTTCTCTGATTTACAGATGAACATGATACTTTAAAACTTAATGTTGGTCCATTTCTACTGTCAGTGAACCTCGAAAGTATGGTTTGATCTTGGTAAGAAATTTTTTTCCTGATCTAAATTTTCTCATGCTTTTTTGTTTTTGGTCATTCTTCTGTTGTGTTGAATTGATGAGCCATTTTTTTTGGCTATAGTGGTAATGGGTGTTGAACTTCAACAAAATTATAGTTCTAGGATATACATAGGTATTAGCTCTACATTTTTTAATAAATCCTTTCTTATTTGTTCAAAAAGATCTAGAATTAAAATTTCCTTTAATAATTTTCTTTATTTTTTTGTTTTTCTTCTGAATAAGAAAAATATTGTGTCAAGTTTATGGCTTCACTTTGTATGTTGCATGAGATCAAAACATGGTTTTATGGTTCAGGGTTTTCATTTTTTTTTTCAAATAATTCCATGAACAAGGTATGTAAACAGTTGCATTTTGGTCTTTTGGGTGTTAACCAAATGCTGAATTGGTGATTATAATTTTTTGATGCTGTACGTTTGTTGCTAGTGTGACAACCCAACTTGATATCTTAGAACTAATCAAATTGTGATCCATGTTCAGACCACATAGGTGAATATCAAGTAGGAAAATCTACATTTTAAAAGTTATAATTCGTGAAATGAATCCCGAGATTCATCTAAGTTGGAATAGTTGAAATTTGAATAAAGTCTAGGTGTGAAGAACCTTATTTAAATTTTAACTCTAGCATGAATTATTTTATATGTGAGTTTGTTTATTCCCATAATACATATTGTCCGTACTATGTGACATTTACAAGCATAGTTGTGAACTTATTTCATTAATACTCTAGCATTACCCTTTAAATCTGTTTTGTTTCCAAAAACTAAGTTTCCTTTCATTTTCCAGTACAGTCTCCCCAACATATCTTAAGGAAAATCTTTGCTCCATATGGTTGGGGAGCATTTTGATAACACATCATGATAAGTAGGTTCCACTTTTTTAATTATAAATAATGCCTGACTTAACATTTATTTTCTTTTAGGTGTTTATTCCTCTAGCATAATGAAATGAACTATCCTCGGATCACTTATTAGCAATAAGTATGTTGTATTTTGTTTTATACTATAGCATAATGGTGTTGGAACTAATGCTTGATTAAAGATTAAGAATGTAGATGTGAAAGTTTCAACATGGCTTTATAATTCTTTGTATCTTCCAATGTGGTATTTTGCAATTCTGCAGGTATTATGGTGTGTTAAATGGGATTGACACTGCAATGTGTTGGAATTTTTAGCCTTCTCGGCAGAAAAGAAAAGGAATTAAAGAAAGTAGGCTATGATCGAAATGGTGGACCCAAAAAAGACAAAAAGAACGATAATGGTTGCAAGTTTTCCAAAGTGGAACCAAAAGAGCTTAGGCAAAAGCAAATTGGATAACATTATCCAGGAACTTTTTATGGAGATTCCTAAGAAGAAACGATAAGCAATTGCACATTTTTTTTTCCATGAGCTAGATTAGTAAGGAATATTTAAGGATGGTGTTGTGAGACAAGCCAGCTCAAGCCAAAGCCACAAAGAGGCTATAAGATACAAAGGTAAATGAAAAAGAAAGATCATGTGTCTCATTATTGTCCTTTCTTCCTTTTCAGTAAATGGTATAAAATATCTGATATGGATATACATTTTATTGTTTATCTTATAATTTTATAGCCTTTAATTTTAGTAGGAAAAAAAAGGTTGTATGTTGCTTGCACAAGTAAATATACATCACAATACAATTAGTTTGAACAAGAATTCTCCAAGGTTAATAGAACCAAGATTCTATGGATGATTGTTCTTCTTCACTTTCCATGTAAAGAACCAATGTTTCTAACCTTTGGATGCTTTGTATTCATTTCTTCTTTAATCACATTCTTATTATAAGAGCTTTTGTCCTCTGTTTTACAACATTAGGCCACTTTTTTACCAAATTGTATATGTGTGCAACTCAATCTTTTTTTTTATAACAAGATGGTATATCATTGCTTGATTGACTCACTTGGCTACTTCTTCTTCTTCTTCTTCTTCTTTTTTTTTTTTTTTTTTTTTTGTATTCCGACATCATTTTGATCTAATTTTTTTAGTGAATTTTTGGAGCAATTGAAAATGGAAGAGATTTCATGCACGACATCCTATGGTTTTGTTGTTTGAGGTTTTTGACTCTGTTTTCCTATTCAGGACATTTCATTAGCTTATGTCAAGGCCAACTCTAAACGAGATAGTGTAGGAAATATGAAGGGAAAAATTTTAAATTTAATATTAGTTAACTTCTTATTTAAGAAATTACTCCAAAGACTTTCTAGTCTCCGAGGTGTGGAGTGAGAAAAACCCACCAAGTATGTTAGTAAGACAATGCACTATGCAAGCTAATATTTAAGGAATTTCTTTTTAAAATGCTTGGAGATGGCTTTCAACTTGACATGACTCGATTTAAGAAGTTCTTGGTAAAGCTTTTGTATTTTTACCCTTAAAAAAATTGTTGGATTGCCTCTTTTTTTTTTTTCCCACACTTGATAGTTTAAAATCCGAACACTTTTCTTGAAAAAAAAATTTCCCGCAACGTAGTGTGGGTATCAATCTAGTGTTCACACTAATAAAATTGAAGAGAAAACAATATAAAAATAAATTTATTATGAAATAAAATGAATACAAATGATAAGAAATATAATAATTCTCTCAATTTTTACAAAACACATCTACACAAACTAATAAATAATCAAGCCTATTGATAAATATCAAGGTTAGAAAGAGAATTAGAGGGGACTATAAATCATTAAAAGATATATAAATAATTGAATAAATTATATCACCTTTTCAATTTCTTATATTGAATTATGAATTGAATCACATGAGTCGTGAGAAATATAAAATGGCCATGGACATTCATTATTTTATAACACTTGACCTTAAATGTTCATCGTACAAGAAACATACCTCACTAAAACCTTACTAGAAAAAAATCAAGTGAAAAAAATTCTAGTGAAAAAAAAATGCAATATTCCTTGTACACATTAATATATATATATATTAGGGTTCTCTTATTGAACATATTATTAAAGATCTTTAAGACGACACATCTCAATTTTGCGAACTATTTTCTTAAAAGGTTTGGTAAGTAATGCCTTAGTGAATAAGTCCACTAGATTATCATTTTAATGTATTATTCCTTCAATTGAATTATACAAGTAGCATTTCATATGATATTGTTGAAACTTCTTTGCTAGTAGATAAACCACATATCTCTCAAGTATAATGGGTTATTGATCTTTAGCTAAACATATTGTCGATTTACTTCATGAATTGGTATTTCTACATAGTTTGAATATGTAGCGACTATATTTTACTTCATAGAACATCATGATATACTTGTATCACCATGTGTAAATACATAGCCCATTTGTAATCGAATTTTGTATAAATCGGATAAATAACTTGAATATGCATAACTAAATAATGTAACACCCCCGACCTAGGACCTAAATAGGTTGAGAATATTACCTTCGTGCCTCACAATGAGCGCAAGACACAAGGCACTCGTGTCCTTCCTATGGATTTATTATGTATGGTTTGTACTA